CATTACTAATCTTCAATTTTAGTTTTAAATTTTCAATCAATCTATTATTACTCTTTAATATATTGTATATAATTCATTTAGATACACAATTAAAAACAACAACCTCTCATTTTTTATCTTACTCTATCTACTTTCTATTTACTTTCTATCTGCTTAATGTTTCGAATTTAAAATATTTTATTTTCAATAAAAAAAAATGATCACCAACCATTAAACAGTTGAAATTACTGAATAATTAATTGAAATACAATAGTGATCAGTTTCCAGATTTGGACAATATTATGCATGTGGGTCCCATCGTATCCACCAATGTTAGCAGATTGTCTCCCGCGCTGGGAAAGACTAAAGTTCCACCGTCAGATTCAAATTGACTTCTTTTTTTTTTGTCCATTTTTGCCGCTGATCTCGCACGGGAACGTACTGTACTTACATTCGGTTGTTTTTTCGTCTTTCGACCGTGAAATTCGACCGTTACCCATTCGGCTTTTAACATGCAATTTGTTTGGTAGGGTTTTGATCCAAGGTAATTTGGCTAAATTTAGTAGTATGTGTGGTTTCATTGATTTTAATAGTTTATAAATTTTTTAGAAAAAAATGACTATCATATTATATTTTAAAATATTAAATAATAAATATCATAACAACTATTTATTAATTGTTATCATCAAATTAAAAACATAATAAATCCATTAATAAAAAGAATGTCATTTTATAAGTGAAGTTTAAAATTTAAGTCTTAAAGTTAATACTTAAATACTAAAATAAATCACGTTAACATAAGAGGGACTTATTAAAATTATTCAAAAAAAAATAATCTTAAAATGTATAAAAATTAACATTAAAATACCTAAAAAATACAATCCCAAAAATGAAAAAATATTCAAATTAAATAAATTAAGTTTTTCCACTAACTATTGGCCTCATATTAGTTATTTAGGTAGAAGTCAAATTGGGTCAAAAAATTTTCTATAATAACACTTTTTACCTTCAATTTGAGTTCAAGTTCAAAGAAAAAAAAGAAAAAAAGAAAAAAAAACCGAAGAAAATGGAAATTTGACTTCAACTTCAACAAACTAGAAGCTGAAGTTAACTTACGTTGAAGTAAATCAAGTTTTAAAATTATTTGTACAATATCTTGACTAAATACATTCATAAAACTCTACTTTGACAGTTGAATAATTAAATATTTGCGATCAACAAATAAGAGGATAAAATTTCATTTCCATAAAAAACAAATTAATAATAAGAGGATCAATGAAAGCCTCAAAACTCGAAGAAAATGCCTATCAACAAGAACGTAGCACTGTTCTCAAATATTTGCTTCAAACCTATTAAAGTTTGAATTGGTATTTCATCAAATGAATAATGAATAATTGTTTCACTGGTTGTTGAATGCTCAAATGTAGTCCATCACTGTGCTGTGCAGTCCATAAAGAAATGGAAGCATTACAAAATAATACAATCTCATCTTCTAGGCACCTCTTTGGTCAGAACCAATGAAACAGACCCTTCTAAGCTTTTGAAGTACCACCATGATCTCTCTCAACATGCTCTACAAGGGCCACTGGATCACGGAATGCTTTGCTACACTTGGGGCATACATCAATAGACATCTTGAAGACACGAGATTGGCTGTTGTTCCTTTCATGGACTTTCTTCACGTGCTCCACCAGAGTTGTGACATTGGAAAATCTTGCACCACATTGCGGACATTCCTCCTCTTGCCCTGTTCCTCCTGCCCTCCCACTGCTGCTGCTGCTGCTACTCTGCCCCACTCCATCCCTTGTTGACTGCCACACTTGGCTAATTTCAGTACTCAATTTTGCCATTCCTGCCTCAGCTGCATTAAGAAAGCTAGACCACCTAGATGAAGATGTTGCCGAAGCTTGGTTGGGCCTTGGCTCTTCTTTTCTACTTCTATTTAGAAGACTGGTAAATTGGAAACCTGAAGCAGGTTTCTTTGGTCCAGGGCATTTGTGGTCAGGCCCAAAACGGTGCTTCAAGCAATGGTCTATGGTGCAGTCCCTACACTTGATGGTGTTTGAGAAGGTCAAGACCTCCCTGCAGCCAGGAACTGGACACTTTTTCTTCTTTGTGACTTTCTCATAATTTGATGGATCACATTCTGTACTAACATGTGTCTCCCAAGTGATATTAGGGTCCTCATCAGGGTTTAAACGAACCCCTTTAGCACAAAGTGGGCAGATGACAACGGTAACATCTTTCTTGTCAGCTTTAGGGCAATGGTGTTTGATGTAGCTTCGGTGTTCCAAGCAATAAACCTATGGAAGATTTCCAATTATTCCATCAGAAAAAAGAGATATAAAAGAAAAAAGGTGCCAAGAGAATCTAACACAGTATTGGTAGGAGAATAATAATCCACAAGGACTGCACCAAAGATGATGCAAAAAGAATAAGAGTTCAACAGAATTGAAGTTACAGCAAACTTGTCCACTGCAGAATCTCTACCTATACTTTAAAAATAACCACAGTAGCAAAAAGAACCTAGGTTGAGGCAGTGGCTCGGTGCCTTGCCTAGACAAATATTTGCACCATTTTTAAACAGTGGTAAACATTGACACTTGAAATTTCAGCTAACATTGACAGTTATGCTATAGAATTTCCAAGAGAAATGGAGAACTTGAACATGTTATAATTATTCTACAGAGAGAACTGCATTGAACACGAACCATCAAGAACTATTTCACCTAAAAGCTTATTCTTTTCTAGCCGACGCTACAATCGATCTGCTTACAATCTCCTACAAACAACCTTCCACGGACCATCAAATTTTTGGCACATTTCCTCCCCTCCCCTCCCCTCCCCAAACCACTCTCAAGCCACACCATGATGCAAATTTGAGACCTTCAACATGGAAGCTCAAGCTCTTGAACGCTAATACATCGCCAAGCGACCATGGATCATCAAATTTAATGAACTTTTTGATTCCATCAACAATTCAATCAAAGCCCACGAGACAGATGAGAAAATACATTTTAAAACTAATGAAATGAAACTAAAGTAAACATCTTCTTCCATTGAATCATCTTCTTCCCTTTTCTTCCTAATTCAAAATTAATTTTTTTTATAGAAAAGAACCCAATATCAAATCGAATGACATACATCTTCCCAGCAATTATTATAGAATTAAATCGAAAAACCTAAAAAATTTCTAGACATATATGGAAAGGGAGAAAGTGGGTACCTGGTGACAACGATCGCAAGTGAAGGGCAGGAAATCGATCTGCTTGCAATCGTCAACGCTGCAATGCTTTCCGAGATCTGGGAATTCTGGGGTTCCCATTGAAATTCAATGCCGGCCGGCAAGCACAGAGAGAAAAGAGATTGCAGTTAAATCCAAAGATATGGTTTGGAAATAGCAGGAGAAAATTTTCGATGTCCTGGATTTTTTTGCGAGGATCAGGAATTGGGATCCCTGACTCTTGAAGAATTTGAATCCCGCGGATTTAGCAGTCAACGTGGAAACCGCGGAGTCAGAAAGATGGAATGGAAGTATCTTTGAATTTTGAGGACTTTGTTTATGAAACGAATTTGCAAAAAATAAAATAAAATAAAATAAAAATGCCATCGAGGAGCTGAGCTGGGTATCCAGTTATCCACCCCCAGCACAAAACAATTAAGCACAAAAAGAAAAAAGAAAATCTAAGCATGAAACAATAGTAATAAAAAGGGTTTTGCATATCAGAATTCACAATAAAAATATAGTATTACCTATAAATTTATTAAACTCTTTTAATGAAATTATTTTTATATTATTTTATTAATATTAAATTAATAATTTTAATATTCAAATTGAACTTTAAAAATACAATTTTATCTGTGAAACATGAATTTTCAATTGCAAAAGGGGAAAAGTATTATTTGGATTGTAGAAGAATTTTTATTTTGGTGATTTAAATTGTAAGTGAGAACCATTAAAATGGAAATAATTTTTAATATTAAAAAACTCTTCTTCATTTAATAATTAGTTTTGTGCGATCTAAAAAAAATTGTCAACATGAAATGGTAGTAAGGACATTGTGCATCAACTCAGGTTAACCAATAGCTACTTTTACTCAGCCCAAAAAGGGCGTATTAAATGATTAATAGTTTGATATGCCAAATTAGAAATTTTAAGTTTAAATTTTGAAACAAATAAGGGAAGAATTAAAGGAAGAGAATAACTATTTCTATTGTATAATCTATCATTAATATAAAAGAAAAATAAAATGAAATAAAAAAGAAAACACAACTACAACAACCTTTACTCCATTAGGTCTTCGTAATCAGGGGATTATCGGAATGAGTGAAAACCGATCAAAAAATTTAAATTCAGGTTGATTGAATCGTTTTTTTTTTTTTTTTGGATAAAATGTGAATTTATTATCAAAATCTACACAAAACAGCTCTTTTGGTTAAGGCTGCTACTAATGCCAATACAAAGAATGAAACAACTCCTAAACTACTGTATGTTCAAACCTTTGCTGTACATAAAATTTCTAATCCCCATTGAGCTGTAATTCTCCTTGACATGGGAGAAGACCTTTCCTTTATAAACCCTAGTACTCTGTCTCGAACATCCATTTGAATCATATCAATTATTGCAAAAGGAGATTTATATAGCTGTCTGTGTATCCTGTTGTTTCTTTCAATCCAAATATGATATATTGATGCACACCAAGCTAATTTAAGAAGATAATTGTACAATGCCTTATGTTTAACTCTCTTACATAACCAATCCAAAGCATCTTGCCAAATGCGGTTTAATGCAATTTCTAGCATAAAAGAAATCTTTTCCCAAATATGAGTAGTGTAGGGACAAGAGAAGAAGAGATGGTTCCTAGTTTCACTTGCATTCCCACATAGCACACAAGTGTTATCAATGGAAGAAGACCAATTCTTCTATCTAGACTTGGTAGAGGGTCTATCTAATATAGCCAACCAAACAATAAAACTAGGTTTGCGAATAGAATTTGAGTACCAAATGAGTTTGAACTAGGGTACCTTAGAGCATGTTTAACTTAGCTTGTAAGAGCTTTTACTTTTTTTGTACTGTTCATGAGTGACAAGTTTAAATTTTTATTGAAGAAAAAATTTAAAAGTTATTTTTAGATATAAGAAAAAGTGAGTAAAAAATAAGTAAAAAGTGAGTTTATAAAAACCTTGGATTTGAAGTTTTTGAGTTTTTATTGTTTGAGGTCTTTTTAAAATTAAAAAAAAATTAAATATAAATTTTTAAGAAGAAAATTTAAATTTATGAAATATAAATAATGTTAAAAAACTAAAGTACTTATAAGTTAAAGCAAACATGCCCTTAGATCTTTTTTCTCTAAGGAAGTTCCACGTAGCATTTGTTCGAAAAGAACCTGATGGAGATTTTGGTGATTTTGGGTCCTGTATTGATATAACCGATGGGCCAATGGTTCGGTTTTGGTTTGGAGGCCCAATAACTAAAAACAGAACCGAGCCTCTAGATTAAAAGAATTGAGCCCAAATTTTTAAGCCCAAAAGAATTTTAAAAATAAAAATAAAAAGACAAGAAAAATAATACAAAGGATTTAACTCTTTAAAAAAAATGAAAAAAGAAAAAAAAAAAAACAAACAAACAAACAAACGTTTCTTAGCTGTTCGGTTGGGCTGCCACCAACATATCCTTAATTCCTAACCAAAGTAAATTCAAAAGTGTAAAGTTGAATGTGGTACACTTTTAACCTTAGGTCCTTGATCAAGTAAACAATCATAATAAAAATTGCCTCAAAAAGTTAAAATTTTAATATTTTAAATTGGAGTTTAATATTAAGTTAGAAATTATGAATTCAAATCTTGAAACTACACCCAAACAATTAATGAAGAATTAAGAGAAAAAAAATAGAGTGCTATCCACATTCTGTATATATAATTTAACCACAAGCTTCATTTGCCTATAATCTGTTGTACTGTATTAGGTTTGGTTATTTTTTTATCATAAAAATATATAAAATATTAATTAAAATTAAGAAAAATATATATAAATTATTTAAAAATAATAAATTTATATTTTAAATAAAAATTAAGAAGTAATATGAAAAAAGGTCAGTGCAAAGCATTGCAAAGCTAATCTATACATAGACATTGAAAAAAAATAAAAAATAAAAGAGGCTTGATCCTACCACAAATCCACCTCTTGCTTGGACGAACACATCTGTATACTCAGGGCTTGCTCCTTCTTGGCACAAAATGAATGGCTTGATTCTAACTGATCAATATCTCCTACCACAACGACAGATTAAAGGCATGATACAGCAAAGAAAATGGTAAATAACAAGGACAGGTTGGAAAGTTTCAATAACCTAAACAGTACACTTGATGTTGGCATTCCTTGGGTTCAGCTGCATAAACCAACCAATTGTGATAGCACTATGGACAAGTTGGGAAGAGAAATCAAAAGATAATTTGCACCATGCAGTGCAGTCACAGAAATTGAAGTGAATCACTGATTGTTCTCAGCCACAGAACTCTTATATCCCAGAGCTAACTTTTAGCCATGCCATTTTTAACTACGGCAAGCTACTGGAAACAATATTATGGCTAAATCATTTAGCCATAGGATTTTTGTTATTTAGCTATAGAACTTTCCATGGCTATAGGTGTAAAATGTAGTAGTGAAGCATCATTTTTTTTAAGTTACATTGGCTTTAGGCTTTCAGCTATGGATTGAACCTCAAAAATCACACTCATTTAAGTTGATAATCAAAAGATAGGGGAGCAATAATAATAACCACAGAAAAGAAGATCCAAAGTAGCACAAGTAGATGCAGAAATGGTTTTTAATTTGGAATCCTTAGCACCATTCTATTGTTTCAAACATAACCAATCTCCCTATTGCACCTGAGTGCCTGTTTTCTAGTCCAAAGTTTTCACCTTTCATCACCTCATTTTCTTTCAGTTTCACTTTTACCTCTCTCTCCCTGTTCTCTGTAGCAGAAAGTCTCAGAATATTATGCCTTTTTACCTTTCATATATGGCCCCTACTCTCTCTCTATATGCAGTCCTTTTGTCTTTCTTAGATGACATTGACATTTCATAGTGGTTACCTTGTGACTCCTATCTTTCTTTCCTTATTTCTATTTTCTGTTTCAATAATAGAACTATAAGTGTAGGACTTTATAGGGAAGATGGTGATGGTTGTCTTGATGGGGACAATGGAGAATCAATTCCCACCGGCTTTGCAGCCATCGTCGGTGGTAGCACGACCTCCAAGTCGATATACACATGGATCAATTGAGACACTGGTGGTTGTGCTAGCTGTGATCATTATCATAGGTGCTATTGCAGGAATCATAGCTCAGCTGTGTGGTGCTAGTCATTTTGGTGGCAGTGAAGAGAATGATGTAGAAGGCTGGGTAGAGAAGAAGTGCAGGAGTTGTATTGATGGTGGAGTCCCCAGTGCCCCTCCTCCTCCCCTTCCCCCTCCCCCTCCCCTTGAAGAATCAAAGGCAGCAATAGAAGAAGCAAAGTAAAGTAAGTCGGTAATAGCTACTCAAGGTTATGATAATTATTGTACAATCCTGGTGTCAATCATATCTTTGGGAGTTTATGTTTAAGTTAGGCCTAGTGCTTCCAGGTTTGATCTCCTAACAATTAAGCCTAAAACTCTGTTCCTTTTTTTAGCAAAAGGGTTTCTTACTTGAGCTAATTCAAAATGTTAGTGCATTAATCACTCAATATATGGGTTCAACTTTAAAACCCACAACTCTTTTCTTCCTCACAAAAATAACCAAGATTTCAAGTATAAGAGAGATCCAAAACCAATACGTTTGACATTTTGCTCTTTGAGTACATCCAAGCAAAGGCGAGTCTTACAATCTTTATCATGCAATTTTATTGTTCTTGCTTCCCTAACAGTTGTGAAGCTCTTGGAAAACTATAAACAAGTACGCACCTCCAATAATCCAACACTGTTCATTTCTCCACCATTCATTAATACCAACACCACTCCATAGCCTTACAAGAAATTTCAACAAGCAGATATATGGGAAACTTGCCAGTCAACAAGCAGATAGCCAGGAGTGTACAATAGAGAAGCGGAATGGCAATAACTGGATATATGGTGGTTTTGATATATGCAAATCCCTCAAGAAATATCAGCCTTCCCCCATAGCCATACTAAATAGGACAATGGCAACTAAATATAATTTCAACAGAACCTCAAGCCCAACGAAGTACTTGATTTAGACAAACAGAAAGGTTATTTGGAGCAGATCTTTTAAAGGTAGGGCGTTTTGGCATGTGATTGTTGGATTTCTACAGTGTGTAGAGGGCCTATCCCACGTTAATGGTTATAAGATATGTAGTCCGCACGGGGCAAATTGCATTTTATGTTTAAATACTCTACTATATTATAGATTCCTGAATAAATAATAATTAAGTTGTCTTATTGTTTTATATATGTACACAATTAACATACATCTTTTACATTGACGCAGTCTTCTGAGTTCAAGGACAGAGTGGAGAAACATTTCCTATTTCAGTATGCTTGGCATTGTTACATATGGCCTTGGCTGTTTTATCTCCCTATAGCTCTAAATCCAGATTTTGCAGCAAGATCCCTTTACAAGGATAATTATTGCTGCAATCAAACTTTACTGCCACAGCAGAAGCACTGGTTCCCTTGATGTTCTTGAACACCACATTTTTCACTTGGACTATCGTGCTCTGCTTGCACGCCCATCAAAGCATTTTTGCGTAATTAGTAAATAAAGTGGTTGCAAACAATGGTCGCATTAAGTTGATAAAAGAAAATGGTAGTCTGAACTGGAAATGACTAAAATATTCTTTCAATCATCTTTTAAAACTCAGGAGTCAGGGCATTGTCATTTCCAATTTGATTGAGAACATGGTCAATTTTTGAAATAAATTTTGTATGGATAACTAATTACCTGTTGATCGCAATTGTTTTGGTCTATGATTATGGGATTGGTCACATCATTCATTTCAATGCTTTGAAATTTGATGTTGCTGGCACTTCCTGAACCTCCCTATTCATAACAAATAATGTGCGCAGAAAATTTCCTGTGTAAATTGGTATGCATGATTAAATACAGGCAGCCTTATGTTACACAAGTAACATGAAAAAGGGAGTGTAGGGACTTGCCTGCCATGTCTTTATCCTGACTCCAATTGTGGTTCCAGAAAGCTTGGGCCCATTAACAGTGACTCCTGATATATGAGCTTTTGAATTTTCAAATCCCAAACTCCCAATGCTATGTTCATTAATATATTAATAAAACAAAGTGTAAGTACTTGCATACAGGATAGAAGACTGATACTTATACTCTTTTGGAACAATATGATGTTCCAAATTCCATGTCAGGAAGAAAGTGTGATATTGTAAGTGGTTTATAAAAGCCAGGACCAACTATTAATAAAATCTTAAAAGCTCCTAGGTTTTTGAGGACCAAATGAATTCTAATTTGAAGACTTGTCAAGTTAGTGAAAGCTTTAACCTGGATCATTTCATCCAATTTCCTATATTCTAAAAGTAAATGTAAAAATTCAAACCAACCCGATACCATGACCAGGACCACAGGTTATGTCCATGGCCTTCACATTCTGGGATCCACTTATAATGGAGATACAATAATCACCTTCAAAAACCAAAAAACTTTAATTAATTTAGATAATGAAACAGTTATTTAAATAATCAAACAATGTACCGAACGATTTGATTAATTTGAGGCAGAGGTCCTGGAAACAAAGTTCGATTTCAGTTCAAATCCTACCTTGTGCAGGTTAGCATCCAACGTTGTGTTAATTAGTGTTTTATTTTTGAACAATACGTTCAATGTATGGCATTAAATACCATAACTGTTCCTATAATAGAGCTTGTAATCTGGATGTTTTTTGTATTTGTGACATGAATCCCATCAGTGTTACGGCTCGTTTCAGGTGCTGTTATTGTAAGATCAGAAGCTTGAACAGTCATTCTATATGAGAAAGAAAGATGAATTTGCTGTGCATCCTGAATCTTTAAGTTCCTCATTATCAAATTCTTACATTTGTGGAAGGTGACGGCCTGAAACATATATATCATCATCATAGTTAAAGAATTAAACCAAGATTATAACAAATTACCAAACTGAAATACATGAGTAATATTGACACATTGAGGTATAACTATGTTGATACATACTGTTGGTGCGTTCTTGCATGGCTGCAAAACGTTGAAATCAAAGGATTTTGTGCTTTTAGTAGGATTTTGAGCTATTAGTACTGTTTGATTAATAATATGTTAATGTCTTTTCTAGTTTGGACTGATTAAAAGAATGTTTTTTTGGTATAAAAAAAAGACTAAAAATGTTCTTTTAGCAAAAAGACAATTTTATAAGAAAATGTCGGTTATTTTGTTAGTTAATGGGGCTTACAAGGGCCTTGTTGATCTTGCATGAGTTCTGCCACTAAAATTTTCCATTGCCACTGATAATTCCACCACCTTGGACTAGAAGGTTTTCAACACTATCAAATTCAATCTAGTGTCTGCTATCTTTATAGTCTAATCGATCATCGGATGCTTCTAAGGTTCCTTGTTTTTTTTGAAAGGTGCTTCTAAGGTTCCTTGTATCTACAAAAAAGATTTTCTTTTGTATAAGCTCGAGGATTGATTTTTTATTTTTCAGAATAATTTTTAATTAATAATTTCCTCACCTGCATTCTAAGATTGGACTAGCAAGGACCTGAGAATTTAATTGGCTTGAGGAGATAGCTCTTTCCTTCTAGCATCAGAAACACAACTCCTTAGGATGATGAACAAGCTGCCTTCCAAGCCTTCATAAATGACTGAAGGTAATTTGACATGAGAACAAGTTCCATTTGAAGAAATAAAACATGCATAATTATTGCTTGGTAGAGAAGATTCCTAAAACCTATATATTTATACAATTACCCTTGTACTAGGTATAGTACATATTAAAAGTTATAATAAGACAAAGTGGATTAATATAGATAAAAAGATATGAAAGATGATTATTTCATCTTGCATAATAATGTGACAATTTAAAAGAAGAAATTAAAGATGGTATGGTAGTTAAGTTTTATATGTGAGTGCTTGAGTGTCATCTATTCCATCAGCTTTAGCTCCCAAATCATTAACATTAATTGTTTTAACAAATGGTTACAGGGCAG